AATCTCGATACTTTAAAGATCACAAGACCTAGCTATTGTAGGGGTGAAAGTGCATATCAACAATTTTGAGCCATATTTTTTTGAAGAATATGTTTTGTAATAGTGATTTTTTTTTAGAGAAATTGTGGTTAAAAGTAGGAAAGTATTTTGAATTTACATGTAAAATTATTTTATTGAAAAAATGTATGATTGTAAATGAATTTAAAGAAAAATGAGTTTTTATATAATGGGCTAAAACAAGGGCTTAGTGGTTGTCTTATTAATATAATGACCTTAAAAATGCTCTTGAATGGTGAAAAGAGAATGGAAGAGACTTTTAATCAATCATGCTACACGTACATCATCTTTTATATCATTATTTATATTGTGTCATGTGATAGCACACAATTGGATATTTAAAAAAAAATATTTTTTCTACTCACAATTTTTTGGAAAAAAGGGAATGTCAAAATCAATGTAAGGAAATGAGTGCACATTTAGCATATTGGCTTTTAATAGGGCACACACCAAATATCTCGTCGAGTTCAAAGCTCCAAAAAATGCATTTAAGTCATTTTTGTTTTTCGTCCCGTTGGGTATTTTTATTATTTTGCCCTGTCTCATACCCGGTTAAAGAGGGGTAGAGCAGATCCTCTGTTCCTTTTATTGTCCTATTCAATTTTTTATTTTTCATTTATTTTTATTTTGTAAATATTCTTATTTTTTTTTCAATTTGCTAAGAACAACTTATTTTCTTTTTAAAAATGATGATACATATTTTTTTTTAATGAAAAACTTAAATTTGAAATTAACTTTAAATGGAGCAGATAGCGGGACGGAACCATGTTTCGTGTACCCGTCCCATACCCACTTTGAGAAAACGACCCTCATCCAACCACCGTCTCGCTTACCTGATTAGACAGGTGGATATCAGATTGAATGAATTTTTTTTTTCCGTCCCTACTACTATTGCGAAAACCAAGGCATTTAATAAATGATTGCTTTTTTAAAAATAGCTGAAATGAAGGAAAAGCCAATACATACATACATCAAATTTTTTATTTTTTAATTATTTCGAGTATATCAAAGTAGGATATTTCTTAATCTTAACAATACTTTAAAAACGAAAAAAGAATCACCCCATTATACCAAAATTTGCAACTTATTCTTCATATATTTTGATAAATCTTGGCCGCCCCAAGGCAAATAAAGGCTTCCATAAATCCATCATTATTTTAGGCATAACTTTTTATGAAATTTTTCACGAACTTTAAACTTGAATAATTGAAATAAGGAGAATCAATGATGAATTTATTGACATTGGCCTTAATGATTAGGTTTTTCTTTGGCTTAGCCGCCGAGGAGAATTTGGCGTGGCCGAAGGATACGTTTTCTATACAGCTGTATATATAGCTTCTATATGTATTGTATGTAGATGGAGCTTTGCCAAATATTGAGTTGAGTAGCTTCCCAGTTTTCTTAATATGCCCCCCTTTTTTTCCCTATTCTACGACTTTGATATTCCATCTCCCAATTAGCATGCAAGATCAAGTTTTGCATTGATCAACTCAGTTTTCCCTTAGGATTTTCATGTACTGACAGTGATTTGCAAGATTTTGATGGGCTCCTCTCTTCGTGGTTCTGTCATGGGGAAAATTTAGGCTGACCCATGATTAGGTATTGAAAACAACCCAGAGAGAGAGAGAGAGAGAGGGGCTTTCAATTCAATGAATTTGTTATGATGTTTGCCAATGAAGCAATCTTTCTAATTCATCAATCTAATATATGCTTTATGTCATTATATATGATTATTAAGTCATTCTTACTCTTCACTCTCAAGTTCAAGCATTGGCCTACTTCAATGGCTCTTGTATATATATTTATATGTTGTTTCTTCAATTAGCTTGTAATGGTACTAATTTTGGGGGTTTTTTTTTGGCTCGTTGGGAGGTTGTCCAACACAAATATACGAAACTTTAGTGAAGTGACTGAAAGATCAATACGATTGAAGAATTATTATGACGATCGAAAGCATGAGATTTGAATATGAACCCTAAATCAAAGAATCATTGAACATGATAAGTTAAAAATCCATTGGTTCCCTAGGAGTGCTGGAAAATATTTAGAAAATTTGAAAATAATATCGTCGCACTTGCAAGCATCAGGTGGCATGTACTTTCAAAATTTGTAACTCCACCATAATTAGGCGAAGAAACACAAGACACGCTAGGTACTATCAATTTTTAATGTCCACATAGGATTAAAATATCTTTCTCTCGCATTAAAATGAAAAGCAAAAGAAGAGTCTAAAAGAAGAAATACATATAACAAGAGTCGAGTCAACCATCTTGTATATGAAGCCTATGGAACGAAAAGTAATGTGTCCATAGTAGTTAGAGAAGTGCTACATTGAGAGTATCGATTGTACAAGAAATAAATATGTCTTCTATCATAATTGTAGACACTATAAATATAAAATAGACTTATCAAACGAAGGAAAATGAATAAATTAGACTTACCAAAAAATGGAAAAGGAACCAAAACATCCATACCTTATGGTTATTAATGGAATAGTTGGATTGCTTTGATCTTCAGCATTAGTTTCAACATGCAATTAGTATACATTCTATTTGGTAGTTGAGGAAATGTAGAGATCATATCAGTTAGTTGTATGGATACTGCAATTTCCTTTCCTTTTCAATTCCTTCAAAACTTTATCATTACGAATTTTAATTGTTTTGAAAAATATATACAATTGCAGTATCCCCTCAGTAGCTTCCATTGCTTCCAACTATGAAAATAGTATTCGTGCAGAACATACAGAATATATATTAAACAATTTTATAGGGTTAAATAATAATAATAATATAGCCAGAATGGCCACGGGCCAAGGGCTGATGGAGAGTCATAATCTTTGTTGTTACCCCCGAAAACAGAGGCTCCAAGTCAACACTCCAAGTGGACGGTCACGTACTCCCTGTAGCCAAGTAGACATAGAGCCAGTTGAAAAGTTAGTAGGAAAGTCAGCATAGTCAAGGACAACAAATGATGCAACTGTCCGAGATCGTGCGAGTGCCGATGCTATATTCGTCCGATGTCCCTTCCAGCCCAAGTAACAAAGGTCTGCCTAAAACCCCTCAATGCAAAGGCAAATGCTCCTCATGTCCGAAGTACTAAGGCACCGAAGCTCAACTGCACCAGATATCCATAAGCCTAAAGCTGACCTCAACGCATGCTAATGCCGACTTTGCCTCCCAATAGAGTCGGAGATCTATTAGAACTGATTGATAGAACATCTGTAATAAAGTGTCTGTAGTTTTAATGTGTCAGTATCAGCCTACTACTAGCGTGGCTGACCCATTGTCAACCATTGAATGTAGTGAGTGGACAGTAATGTGAAGCTTCGGTCTAGGAGATGTCGCAACGTGGATATGATTCAACGGTCCCCACGTCTTCTAGATTTGTATAAATAAGTCTATCTTTGTATTAAAAAGGGGAGGGTGCGATCGATGAAGGAAGAACATACTTACATACTTTGCTTTGTCTTATAAAAACACACATGAAGAAGACATATTGACATTCCAACAGTATATTATATATTCTCTCATATCTATCCTTCCACATATTCCATTACAAAAGAGTGATTTAATTAGGGAAAACTAATTGAGCACTTGTTTATAGCGTTAGTGCTGTCTCAATCCAACTGCCGAATCCTGAACATTTGTGTCTCTTGTCGGAAAGTACCTCCCGCTTTCAAACCAATCAGCTTACCGCTCATTCTTGGGTAAAAACGCGATGGATCAGTGCTTGATGTGGCGAAAGTGAGCCCGGTATCCGTTGAGTTCATTTTTTGGGGTCAACATTTGTAATGTACAAAAATCAATATTTTAAATTCTAATTAAGACCATGTTTGAGCCAAATTATTGTAGAATGAGAATGAAAAATATAGCAGTTATTGGGGTCCACATAAAAGATAAAAAATTTGAATTTAAATGTTGATGTGATGAATAACAACCATATTTTCTATTTTAATAAGAAAATAAGGAATAACAGTCATATTTTTCATTTTATTGAGATAATAATGTAGATCAAACGGGGGCTATATAAGTTTTTTTTCTCTCTATATATAAAATAATTTTTAATCGACATAATCTAAATTATATACTATTTATTTTAACAAACAAACTAATTAGAAGTCAATTAAATTTTAGGCCATGTTTGATTGCAACAAATTTCATGGAAAATATCATATTATATTAAGCTGGAGTTTTACATATGCCATGTTTTGTGTAAATCGTTAATATTTAATTTGATTATAATTTGTGAGTTTTATGCATTAGCAAATAGTTGAATTTAAGGAAATTAAAGACATGACTTCTAATTTATATACATATTCACCATTATATAAGTAAACACAATACACAGCGAGATATATGAATAATGCTCCAGTCTAAATGAGAGAGAGAAAGAGTCATAATTTTATTGATACGAAAAGAAATAATAATAATAAAAAAAAAAACCCTAATCAACTGTCTTTAACTAGTACTAGAAACTACCACAGTTTCATTATTCTGTTTGCAAGTATATTCTTCTACTAAAAGTACCCTCATCTTCAGATATTATTTCATCTACACATAAGCATAACCCTCTACATATACAATTGAACAGATAGGACTTTATTTTTTTCTCTTCGCCTCAGCATCCCATACATTCACTATGCACATTTTTCTTCACAAGAAAGATTATTCATTTTAGTTACCAAAAAGTGATTGAAGGATATATGTCCCTGCCACTAAATGTGCTTCCACCTAACATCACCAAGAGAATTTATTCCACGGGATTGGGACGAAGGAAACTTTGCAATGGAGGAAGTATTTTGTTGTCGAAAAATTAAGTATTTTCGAGATGAATATCTCAAAATGTCCTAAGAAAAATGGAAAATGAAGAGTATCAAGATTATAATGTAAGAGAGAAAAAGAGGGAGAAAAACTACAGGTAAGTAAGAGAGAGAAAGAGATAGATTATTCAACTTGGAAATCAAGGTAAGGTAAGGAGGAGACATTTGCCAACAAACCCTCCCAATCTAATTCTCCCATTTTGAAGCTATCTCCTTGCCAATGATTTTCAATCCCCACAATGTCCTCAACTTTGATGCTTTCAGTACTATTATTCAACTGGCTGTTGATGTTGGCTTTGGTGTCAAAAATATAGTCATAGACTGCATTATTAGGCTCAGTCGCTGTACCCTCTAATGCAGGGACGGAAAGGTCATTTTCTAATCCCATAACATATGGTTCCATGACTCCATAATCCTGTCCAAAGCCCCTATTTGCCATATCAACTTGTTGTAAGCATGTCGAGAAATCGAATGAACCAGCTATTGTACCATTTACAACACTGAATTTGTTGTCCAATGGAGGAAAAGGGTTGAACTGGCTGTTCATAACCATGGCTTGCACGGAGGAAGATGAGGACGACGTTGAATCCAAGTACATTGCTGTCATGTCATATTCGTTCATGGTTATTAATCCTTGCATGACAGCACCCCTAGGCTCTGATATTGAGTCTTGGGAGGATGTTGAATTATTGTTAATATTTTTCAACCTCTTCTTTACCGTTGAATTCCAAAAATTCTTTATTTCGTTGTCTGTCCTCCCCGGTAGTCGTGCCGCAATTTGAGACCACCTTACATAAAGTCGAAAATATGTTAGGAAAGATATGTCAACTTTAGTTCCTATTAAACATGTTAACATATTAATTTCCGGAGTTAATTTTAACAAGAACCTAAAGAATAAAGAATTAATCGAAAACATATAAACTTCAACCCTAAAAATGAATGTATGTAGGCCAAATTAACTCCACAACAACGAAAAAATGTGTATCCTAAGTTCATTTTTAGTATACTAGTTTATGGGAATGAACAGAAAGTAATTTGGCCATAATTCCATTTTTGTCGAGTAATCATCTAATTTCCGGTTGAATTATAGATGTTATTTCTTTCTAAATCATGAAGAAATGCATTAGTTATCTGATCATTTCTGAGTACAATTAATAGGCTCTTTGCCAAGTGTTTGAACAAAGAACTATCATTATTTATTTGAATTGATGTAAAATTAATATTTCCAGAATACATGTAACTTACCCTAAAAATTGAAAGGTTTTTAAAAGTAGAAAAGATAAAGGTTCAAATATCATTATAAAAGAAATCAATGTTTATCAGTATATCAACAAAATTTTGCAGCTTATAGAAAAAAAATTGGTAACAATAAATAAGTTATGCACACTATCTAGCACTAGCAGCACAATGGTAGTCTTCAATGTAACTGTTTAGATCTCCTGTTTGTACACAAAAACACATTTCAATATCGTCTTAATCTTCACTATTTGATTACGTTTCGATTGTGCCATCCTTACAGATCAAGATTATCCACACACACATATGTATATAGAAAGAAATAATACCTATTGCCAAGAATGGAATGCAAATGAATGATGAGCTCTTCTTCCTGAGAAGAAAACGCGCCACGCTTAAGGTCAGGTCTCAAATAATTAATCCATCGAAGCCTGCAACTCTTCCCACATCTCTGCAATCCAGCATTCCTTGCAATATCACTCCAGCAACCTTGTCCATTCATCAACATGTAATTCATCAGCTTCTCATCCTCTTCAGGTGACCATAAACCCTTCCTCAATTTAGCCTTAGTGTTATTCAATTTTTCCTTCACCATTTGATCTCCAGGCTTCCTCATTTTCCCAGAATTATTATTCCAAATAATGGGGAAAAAAAGGGCTAGTTTATTTTCTGGTTCCAAGTGGGCTGATGGAGACTGTGACATGAAGCTATATAGAAGAACATAATGAGAAAGAGAAAGAGAGGGTAAGAGGGATTATGTGAAGTGGAAGCAAAATATGTTTGTATTCTCATACACATATGATGATTACCTTGTGAGTGAAGAAAAATGCATCGACGAAAACAAGATAGAGTCAAACACAAGAAGAGCTGATGTCCCTTTTCTGCCCTCTTCAAGGTCCCCCTCAATCCGTTTCCCCACTCTACCTTATGTTAACCAACAATTTATTCGCATTTTTCTTCAGTTTATAATTTAATCATAGCCCCACAGCAATCACCATTACCACCCATTCAAGCTTCGCTCTTTCTCTCTCTCTCTAGACGTCTCTCTTAATGGAGGGGACACGATTACACGTGTTTCTGAAGTATAATGTCTGGAGAGTACAGAAATAGAAGTACACTTCCCTAATGCAAAAAATGGGATTGATACGTGCAGCAAAAATATAATACAGAGATATGGATAGGTTCAATACATGGAGTACGACAATAGCATTCTATGGTTGTCTGTTGTTGAATTATATTAACGAAATTTTGAAGCAAAATTGTGTATATTGTTGAATATTTTACAGCGGGATTTCTTGAAATCTACCTTGGCACCCTTTTAAAAGAAGCTATGATTATAACAAGAATATCAGTCTACATAAAATTCATGAAGTACTTTCATGTATGCAATTATATTTCCTTTGAAATAATGATTATTAGGAAATATTTACTTCAAAATATTAAACATTATTCTTGATCGTACAACAAATAGAGATTTATTTTCAAAAATCAGGCTGCAGTATTTCCCCAAATATTTGAATAATTTTTATAGGAATAAAGAGGATGACATAAAATGGTTTCGATATATCATTTCCTCAACTGAGGTTACAACATATATGTAAGTATAAGATAAGATAATGCTGTTAAATACAAAATACAAAATTCAAAATACAACAAACTAATCTACGAACTACAGTTGGTTGGACTGAGCTAAGACGATAAAGCCGGTTTGAGCTCATAGTTAGCCTCGCCTGTCTCGTTAATAGTAAGACGAAACTTTTGTTGGAGACTCCAATCTTGGGATGTGAAATAATCACAAAATTTACCTCCACGATGATGATGATGTGTGGGGTGTTCCGATTGCTCAAATCAACGAATGTTACCTGCAAAATGAGGTCGGGGCTTTGTTCCCCATTATACCTCCGGCGTGAGAATCAGTAGTCGATTTTAGGGAGTAAACAGAGAGTATATGAGCATTCAATAAGTTCGAGTTCTCAGAAGAAAAAATACATTTCCCCACATTGGGGTATTTATAGGCACTTGATGGCACGCCCCCCTGCTCCACGATTAACTGTGCCACGTGTTCCACGTATGCCTTCCCACTCCCCCACATTCTATAGCATTGACCCCCACTCGTATTGCGATTGGTCATGGTCAAGTTTGCTATTGGGTGATTTTCGTTTATCTCACGGCCATTTGTTTGGCTAAGTATAGTGGGGGTCAACGTCGTAGGCCTCATAGTGATAGACGGCCCCTGTGAGCGTAGAGGACCCTTGGGCGTAGACATCTTAGAGGGGCGTGCGTTAAGTAGCGACTATCGAGACTTATAGTGGTAGACGGCCCCTGTGAGCGTAGAGGACCCCCGGGGGATAGACGTCTTGGGGGAACGTGTGCTAAGTAGTGACCATCGAGGAAAAATGTTAATACCGTCTTATATCAGGATGTATAGTAGTAAACTGAGCAGATGAAAGAGGCATCGTGAGAGCTTGTTATATTTGATCTTTGAAGGAGATGTGAGACAAACCAGCAAGATGATTCTCACAAAATGATAGTCAACGACGATGTGCTTCACACGAAAGTCAAAAAATGGATTAATTTAGAGATTAGCATCACCAATGTCACAAAAATCGGTAAGGCGCTTAGGGAACTGGACTTAAAGCTATTGCTAGAGAATGCAAACCCATAGAACCTTAGCCAAACTTATAACTGAAGCTGCTCACATATTTTAGCAGTCGATTGAGATGTTACATTCTTTTAGTGAAATAATTAACCTTAGATTTTCTTGCAACTATTGTTCTTGAATTATTTAATTATTGTTTGATCCTTCAGCCAATTCCATAAAGTTTCATATATTTGGTAGAGAACAATTGTTTAACATCAATTTAGTAATATTTACAAGTTAATTTCGAAAAACCATTCAAGTAATCCAATCCAGTGACGGATCCAAGAATTTAAGTGAGCACGGGTGGTCGATAGACAACAGCTCGAAAACTTGGGGTTCCATTTTAAAAGGTCGACCTTGTTAAATTGAGTAGTGCAAAACTTTATAAATTGGTCAATGTTTTCATTTTTATACGATGTGAGATTTTATTCAACCCCGTTTGAGCTACATTATTTTTTTTGATTTTCATTCTTCTACTCATTTTCAACTACATTTTTCAATAAAATAATATTTTTCATTACATCAATAACTTTTCCTCATTTTTCAACCACATATTCTCCGTCACATCAAGTATAAAAATGCATTCTTGAACTCAAAATGTTCACCAAAAGGGGACTCATTAACATGTCTTTGCAAGATAGTGGTTCGTTTGAACAAATCAATCTTGAAATTTGAGTGCTCATATTTTGAGTCTTAATAGTCGCTCGTTGTAGCTTAGTCGTCTCTGATACTATATTAAGATTTGGAGTTTCATATTCAAAAGTCAACATTGTTAAGATGAGTAGTCCAAACTCTTATAAATTGGTCTTTGTTTTCGCCTTTATTTGATGTGGAATTTTAAACCTCAACACCGTCAAGTGGTAAGGAAAAAAATGAATTTTAGGTGGAGCCAGCACCGACGACTGCAAGGGCTTGTTGGGTATGGGCTCCGCCCATGATCGAATGCATGAACTTCAAGATAAAGAGTAAGAATGACACATTAATTACGCATATAAGTTGTTTTATCAAATTGATGAACAGTAAAAGACGGCTTCTTTTGCAAGCATCATAACTCTGTGCGTTGTTTTCAGTACCTAATCATAGGTTGATCTAAATTTCGCCGTGACATAACCATGAAGATCCCATCAAAATCTTGCAGATCACTGTCAGTTACATGAAAAATCCAAGGGAAAACTTAGTTGTTCAATGCAAATTGATCCTGCATGCTGATTGGAAGTTGAGATATTAAATTTGTAGAAAAGAAAAAAAGGCGAAAATTAAGAAAACCGGGAAGCTACTCAACTCAATATTTGGCAAAGCTCCATCTACCGAAAATAAAACGTATACAGCTGTATAGTAAACGTATTCTTTCGTATTCGTCGGCCACACCAAATTGTCCTTGGCTGCTAAGACAAAGAAAAACCTAATCATTAACGCCACGTGTCAACGAATCCATCATTGATTCTGCTTAATTCAATGGCTGTTAAAGGGAAAGCTTTATTACTATTTGTTAAATGTAGAGTGTATTTATATGTATAGCTGGCCGACAGGGATATATTATATTTGTCATGTGTTTGTTTCAAGTATAAGGTTCCTTAAATAATTTAATGAAAATTCTAAAATATTGGTGCATCCATAATGGTTATTTATCAAAATATTTGAGGAATATGATGCAAACTTTGGTATAACGGGGGTGAGAATTAAGCTCTTTGTACAGATGAGATGACAACATTGGATTGATTGGTTTAAAATTGTGTTTTGCCCGGCCAAAAACCCTATACATGTAGCATAATTGTTCTTTTTTCTATATAAAAGTATTGTTCAAAAATTATTAATAGCGGTAAAATAATTTCACCAAAGTAATGTTTCCATAATCGAAGGGAAATTTTTGAGCGCCTTAACCTTTTGAACAAAGCGGGAACCAATTCTCTTAAAAGCTGTGGTTAGGAGAATGATGGATACAATCGAACTCATGAGAAACCACTCAACAACTATTCTTATGGTTTTCACTTTGATAATTCCTTTATGATACACTCAATCTCAAGTTATATTTATTATATACTATTAAGAATTGAAGCACAAAAGTGATTCTCAATATGTGTGTGTATATATATATATATTATTTATTTATTTAATTATTTCACCTCATCCATCCCTATAGCCGCATTTTCTAGTAGGGAACATAATAATATAAAGTCTACATTATTTAACAGTATTCAAAAAATTTAATAATTATTCTAGTTCATAATTGAGAGGGAACAGTTTCATGTTTTTTGATTGCCTATTGCATGTGTTTCATGATGCTATGCGAATGTAGACTTTATAGGCACTAGTCACATCTAAACGTGCGTTGCGCGTTATTTTGAAATGCTTTATGAACACTGTAAAAATTATATTTGAAAATTAGTGAATATAAAAAAAAAAAAAAGTTAAAAAAACAGTTTATGTGAAATGAAATTTTTATACAATTCAATTATTTAATTATGTGTATGATAATAATTAATATTGATTTATATATATCTTACTATAATTCAATCAATTAATTTTTCAAGTTCATGTATGTACACTTTATATATTTTGGGGGCTGTTCAATTACTCTAGAAATACTACAATTCAATTATTTATATATATGGATGTATACTAATTAATATTTATTTATGATATATTAAATATAACATTAAGTCATCAATTTCATGTACACATGTTTTAGGAGCTATTAAATTATTATAGGAGTAAATAAATTATTCAAGTTCATGAACATACATTTATTTTCAAGATTATTCGTTTTATCATAAATTATTCTAAAAATATATAAATTATTAAAGTTCATATAATTTGGGAGCTATTCAATTATTATAAGAGTAGATAAATTATTCATGTTCATGTACACTTATTTAATCTCAATATTATTCATTTAATTTATGATATAACGCCATTTGTCTAAATGTATATAAATTATTCTTTTTTTATATTCATTGATTCAAATTAATGAAATT